TTTGTATGATCCATGTTCAGATTACTATTTCATAAGTGCTTGCCCCACAGTCTGCCAAGGTTTACACACTGGCGTAAAATCTCAGGTTTGCGGCGAACGCCCCGAAAGTCGAAGTAGGACGAATAGGTCGCGGGTGCAACATAAGGAGTGACACAGACAAGCGTGATATCTGCGTCTTAATAATTCGTGAACGTGATGTGGGGTCGCTAAAAAAAGCGCTAGAAAACGCTGCTAGGGGCAAATGGCGTATTGTTCGCTAAGTTTGCAAATTGATAAATGTGCGTGTATGCTGCGAAATTGGATAAGCAAAAATATCCCTTAAGAGCAAATTATCGAGGGGTGATCTCAAAGAAAGCTGGTCTACATTATGCATCGACTCATTCTAAATTGTCAATTGCTGTTAAATGTTTCCACTAGCACCTTAATGTTGCTTAGTACTTTGTTGCGACTTCTGTCCAGTTTGACCTGTAGATTACAGTACTGATCGCAAGCAGTGTCATCAGTCCCAGTGTGAGATGTTGCAGTCATCTCACCCAACTGTATTCTATTAGCAAAAATCTCTTGAAGCACATATAAAAACGGATTGTTAGCCCTTGACCTCACCTTCACGTGTTTCGATAAAATACTGCCTACCAAAATGCCTTCCTGCAACATCCATGTGGCCCAGAGATTGCGATATCCATTGTGAGCCGGCGAATAACATCTTGACGAGGACACAAAGAAACCGTATTTACGACTCCCAACCGGGATAATTTATCCTTGTAGCTTAGAGTAAATGACCATGTATCGCAGGAATTAATTTGTTACAGGCTCTTGAGGTTAGAACCCAATAACTATCCATGGTAATCAGTTGATTGCAAAGGTTTAATCAGAAGCGACCCATTGGTCCGATAAATTTCTAGCTAACCAAAGATAATCCACTTTGCCTGTACGTTCAGTTCCCCGATGAGAACATCGCAGCCGAAGGTGTGATTCCATTAATAGCGACTTGCAGAAATACTGAGAAAAGAGGCAGCCTATTCTTCAATCTAATTCTATTATTTTGCTGACACAAAATGCTGCTATGCATTACAGCATGCATTTTGATGGATCAGTGTGCGGTAATTGTTATTAAAGTCTAACGAAGGCCGTGAAATGAGAAGCACGATTATTGTTAGGTCGTACGCCCACCCGCGTTTTGGAATAAATAATATGCACACTGCCCACCTGGTTAATGGGAATAAACTATTTATAAAACGTCTAAGTGTTAATCTTTGTGCTCTTTTGGGAAGCCGCACCCACGAGTAAAAATGATGATCTTATGCGCACCATCTCATGCGTTGCACTTCTTGGCTTGTAGTATAAGTATGCATATTTGTGCTTATATATGCATGTATATATACATATATGTGAATAAATATGTTCATATGTATACACATATATGCTGGAGGAGGCTTGGGGAGACAAACTGAGTGGTGCAGCTTATTACTCAATCTTTTGGGTTGTGTCTCTAATGTTCCACACATCCATATGGAGGAATTTGTCTAATTTGTACGTATAAAATATATCCGGGAACTTACTCGGTACGTTTCATGTGTTGGTCTGCTCAGATGGACCCGAAGTGCTGTCAGGTTCTTACTAGGGCTTGTAATCTAACGCAGCAGCTGCAGTTTGAAACATATCTACTTCACCTAATCAGCCTATTCTGTTCACCTAGACCAAGCACCCGTAGTTGTTTTCAAAGCTACCAGGAAATTTTCTCTCATGTTTTTCTGAACTACGTAGAATTGATACGGATTTTTAGTTGCCCTCTTTCACCCTCTAGTTCCTCAATAACATTGCCTTGTGGATTGGATTAAAAAATCTCCTAATCCCTCAACGATGGACACTAGACAACTGGATACATTACCGTCAGCCTGCCTTTCTTTCGTTCTTAAGCAGGCACCAGCCGTTGATTACAAAGCCGGTAAATCGACCGTGGGGTTTTATGCACAAGTAGTAAACCGAATCCACAATGCGGGCAATCCATGACCGCATGGACGTTCAACGCCCGCTAGTAAATAACTTCTGCTGAGTGACTTTAGTTTCCTTTATTAACTCACTAAAATGTTGTCCTGGTGAACGCAGTCCTTGAATGGACGCTCCGCATGTCATGACTAGACGGAATGCTATGTCAGTCGAGTCTACTCTTCGTGGGCCGGCTCAGGTCCGCTTCGTACTTCGTTTGAAGGAACACAAGAAATCTAAGTATTTGCCTGAATATACACCGCAATTTCAAGCTGATTCACCCCAAAGCTGGGTGAAGTCGATCGTACTTTATCAGCAATTATCCAGCGACATTCCAGCTTCAAGGTTTCGCCACGGCTCAAAACGGAGAGCGAGAGGGGTACAAATGGGCATACCTAAAATTTCCCGAGGTAAGCGTGGGGGTATCACGACGGACGCCAGTTAATCATGAAATGGTAGCGCTTTTAAAGCGCAAGATGCCTGAGCGTAATAAGCGTGGTTCGAATCTAATCAGCATGTTCGCCCAATCGCCCTGTGCCAAAATGAGGGTGTAGCTCCGCGCTGTTATTTCTCTTTTCCATATTTGGATGGCTGTTTTTAAGCACTTAACGTTAGCTGTTTAAATTGGGGTGTTCTGTGATCTGCCTGGATGTGTGTTTATTAACAGATATTTACAAAAACTCTTTAGTCGAGCATTCAGTCCACTATTGTTTTCCAACAGCATTTTGACAAACCTACATCACCGCAAAACGGTTGATGGCTATGGGTAATACCCAAAAGTCCCTCAACAATATGCAAGGCTCTAGGTCGCGCGGTTAAATAATGGCTTTAGATGAATCATTTCCAAATTAGCCAATTTTTCTGGTTAATGAACGGATTTCAACACATCGTCCTGACCCGTGATCGACATCGTTAGGAAATAGATTTCAACTATTAATTTGTGCGGAATCCTGGGTTAAGTTGCCAGCATTCCGTAATTAACGAGAGCTCACATTTAAATCAACTCCTGAAAAGTTGCTGAGAGAAGCCACCAGCAAATGGGTGGGGGGAGTTATTCACTCAGTCCCTATCGGTTGTCGAAACTCCTAATTAAAATGAGGGTCAAGATTAAGTTACGGAAAATGACCAGTCGAACCTTAATTACCAGCGGAATTTACCTTACTCATTAGAAATGCGAATGGAATTTTGACAGTACGGTACGAACCAACAGTTCAGATAAACTTTGCATCGGCTTTGGGAAAAAAAAGTAAANCGCTTGTCGAACATTCAAAATTCAATAGATTTGTGAAACACTTGGAAACATAAATACAACTGCGGGTACCGCGGAAGTTTGTTGCAAAATTGCAAGTATTTTTTTCATTTCATTATGAGAAATGCGACACGTGTGTGATGTGTGTGGTTTTATACGTTTGATTGATATCATGTCATTCATACGTAGCACGCGCTGAGGAGTTGCATGTAACTTGACCGAGTACATACCGTTCACTTGTCGCCAAGCATGCTGTGGGAACTCACACGTTTAAAGCACAGTTGACACCAAACGGATTTATTGTCTGGGAAATCACCACCTCAACGATTCCTGTTGGAGACTGGTGTAGATGTTGAGGAAACCTTGGATTTCATGCAATCTTTTGTATGCTAAATGATAACCGCAGCCCGGATGGCGAAAACTGTATTTGGCGAACAACAATGCTTGGTTTTGTGGAGATATTTTGTTTACCATTTTCAAGAACGTCCGGTAGTTTTCACTTGTGTCTGGAGTTTTCCGGCGCGCCACAATTTCTGCCATGTTCCGGGCGATAGCTGGAAATCTCAGAAATGCACTTCAGAAAAATTGCCCGCAATGGTCGTACTGATTCGTATCAGAAATTTACTGTGAGTGTTTTAGTATGTAGTAAAAAAATTATTTTTTACGGATGGACATTAATGTGGCGGACTAATTCAGACCATAAATGTGTCTGTCCGCCCTGACCATCATGCTAAGCGAATCCACAAATCGCACCTTATCTGTAAAGCTTCTGTCCATCTATTCAGGGAGATGGAGTCCATAAATCCTCCAGTCGTCAAGCCGATCAACACCCGAACCATTCGCACAGCATCCGCGCATCCCCTGGACTGGCCCATTCTGCGGTGATCACATACACGCCCATGAACATACAGATGGTGAGCCATTACCTGCGAGCACTAGTGCAAGTCGGTGGGCCGCGTGATCCTGTTGATTCTACCCAAGATCTAAGAATCCTGACCGGTTTGCACATTTGCAATTACTGACCTATATTACTTTCCCGACGCACTACATTTTGACTTAACGTCGGAATATTTCGTTCGCCTAAAAAGACTCTTCCTGAGATTTGGTGGTGACAAGGCGTTTTTGATATGGAAATCTGGTAAAAGTCCTGTAAGTAGAGCCAGTCAATACTTAAAAGCCAAGAACCACCGTACAGCTTTTTTGTCCGTATTGGGTATCCTCAGCGGTGCGCACCTCATGAAACTCCGGACAAACTTTAACCCTTGACTCCCTGGTTGGCAGTTTAAAATCTCAGCCTTTATGGCCACGAGCGACTGATCAGCGGCGAGATCAACTCTTCCTTAGACAGGGTGTAGCTTTGCTCACGTTCAATCGAGGGATTCACATCACACGGTCACACGTATTGGCTGGCTTCTCGAACGCCGTCTCATCGGGTGAAATTTATTCTTCCACTGAGTTACTAATATATTGTTCATCCTAGGTAACCGTGAGCTACTCAGAGTAGCTAGTGACCGAACAGTTGCATTCAAACTGTTAACAGAGAAGTTGCGGTTTTAATACAATCTTGGGTTGTTGCGTGTTGTGCATCGGTGGCGGTTCCAATGAGAATGAAACACATGTTCACGGCTTCTTCGCTTCTCCGCATAGAGCAGCTTGACTTACCGGACGAAATTCCAACAAAAATCCCGAACCTTCCCAAACCACAAACACCGGTTCCAATCGCCTGCCGTGTGTATGAATAGTTCTATCTCCAATTTGGAGTCCAGTCCAATGTGCTTCAATTTTGGTGCACGGGTGAGTTGGTGGGAACAAACTGACAGAGTTCGTGAAAGACGCATTTAGAAAGGTGAGGAATTTTGTAGATGCACAAATTTAGAAGACAGATACAAAGTGTTTCTCGTCTTGCAGGTTCTATCAGAAATGTGGAGGTACGAAGAGATCACCCACCTATGCCCTTCGCAGGTACGTAGACTCAGACGTTCAAACATTGTTTCACACATATCACGGCGATAGATCTATATTAGGCGTCGAAGTCACCGAGTCACTCAATCCTTCAAACGATTATCGCGGACACCAGATCAGACTTCAGATTCTCAGCCATTTGAAATCCTTCGTTAGTCACACAAAATGACCACGTCATTCGACCTCGTTTGCGGTCACGTTATCAGTCAACTAAGATTTCATCCAAGCAAATGTAGACCAGCCTCATCAAAATGGTTACGGACAGAATAAATGAACCATTCTTTTGAGATATACGGACTGTTTGTTGATTCGACCATATAGACTAAACCAGAGGCAGTAAATATACATTCTACTTTACTCTGAGTGGACTTCTCACTTGGTCATGCATATCAAACCTATGGATTTTAGGCGGATATGCGGCTTCGACTCCGGTAGTGAAACTGCCTGAGAACTCTGTAGGGTCGCAAAGAGAAACTTCTGTCAAAATTGTCGGTTATATCCTAGCTCCCAAAAGCCATATATGCGTCGCGTCTCATACTCACATTAATCTCTGTCTGGCTCTAGCTGCCTTCATCAATATGGATATGCCTGTGCCGAAGCATCTATGAGTGGAATGGAACACTAAACATCAATCGTAGTTTCGTGCATTAGTTGACCGCGCTATTCCAGTCGCATATTAAGAGGTCGGGGCCAGTGTGCGCTGTTTGAGTGAGCGGACTAATTAAACTCCTGTTCAGGCAGCCGAAGAGCTGAATATCGTAAAACTGATCTGTGGCTGGAAACCCTGAATTCTCTGATTTTATTGATTTCCACGTCGTCCTATTAGTGTGGGTCGGTGGTTTTACATCAGTAACAAGAAACTTCGAAATGCGTGGCAAAGCGACCAATATTTATGCAAGGCAATGAAAATTATGTAACCTTTGTGACAGGAAAACATGCGAAATGACTTTAACAGACCTAGCGTTTACAATATGGGCATTGATATTGTGCGTATTCTTGCATAAACGAGTTCAACACAAAAGACATTATTCAGCGCAAAGGATAATATTCGTCCTCTGGGGATATAAGCACACATTCGCCTGTTCTACGAATCCGCCGACCAATCATAAAGAACGGGAAGCTGGCCAGTGCCCCTCGCTTTAAAATGCTTTAAATCAGACGAGAACAGATGGAGACGTGACGAACCTAAGGTCATTGATCGTGTTTCACATGCGCCAGTATGTTGTTTGGTAACATTGAACACAATGGCGTCGTCGGATTTTTTTATTTGTCAACTCACAATAAGCGACTGCGAGATATTGCGCATGAACGTGAATACCAGCAAAATATGGTGCGCAGGGAATTTCTGTGACTCGAGCATTATTTAATGCCCAGTGAAACTTTACTTAAAGTTCCTTGAATGCTGATCTAAAATGCATACCCGGTAGAGGACGATTCCGAATATTCTGGGGCAACAATCAGGCGATTTGCGCAGAGAATTAAAATCTGTCACCAAACACCGCTGGAATCAAACACAATAAGCGTACACTGTCGGAAAATCAAGGAGAAAAGTAGAAAGTTCCTGTGATTGTGGGTATATCTGTTGTGGCTAGCTTGCACGCGATTTGAATGTTTGCTAATCCCGTTTGTGGAGCTCGTTGGGGATATCGCGCACGCAAATAACTGAAAGGGGCAGAAATTAGCTTTGGATAGCACTGTGTAGGAGTTAGCAACCTGGTTGGTGGCAACAAGGGACGCCAGCTTAGAATTCTGGTCTACTCATGGTGACCTCGCTTCACTTCACCATAAACTGCGAGCTATTTTGGAAAATTCGGGCGTCATGTGTAAGATACTCCCTCCATGGGATCGTTTTAAGACAGGCGGGACGTAGGTAGAGATAATCGTGGAAATAACAGAGAAAAGCGCTTGGAGTGGTTAGATGTCGAATGACAATCTTCCGATGGCATCCATGAGACTACTGCCGAGAGTGCTGATGTCAGAGAATACCGCAACGAGGTTGAAGGTTGAATTTTCCACGCGGCATTAGAAACGGTCTGCACACGGCGCTACATCTACTGACACTGTCACTTCCTCACCAAAATTTGCAGAACGCCGGTTGTTGATGACGCATGTTATGCTGAGAGATTTCAGTGACAGCGACAACCCACGACGCGAATTGCGGATATCAAAAGTATTTAGCATTAGGTATCACAAACAACCTATATAAAAAAGTTCGCGCAAATGTTGATAGTGCACTCAACGCTCTGAGCTGGTGAACACAGATTTCAGCGGAAAATTGCCTCGGTAATTGATTTCCGAGCGCATATTTTGTACGGTGTGCCAGCATACATTATGCTTACGTCGAAATTCTGCTCAAATTAACACGACTTTTTATCT